GTATCTGTCTATATTTCTGAGATGAGGTATTATGCATATTATTTACATTATTCGGACTATTGGCCTCACCTTTGTCGCCATATTTATTACAACGTTTCAGCCGTTGTACGCTCCGGCTTTCTTCAGGTGGTTGGAATGTAGAACTGAACCCTTTATTTCGCTCACTGGTTTAGACTGTTCTAGTTCCACGTGCCATGTTATCAGTTATCTCCTGTTAATTTTCCCTCTGAAAGTTTTCCACTGCTTTAACCGGGTATTGAACTCACACCCTTTGGGTCCTGTCACTGAATCTAACTAACGCCTTTATCCACTTTATCCTAGATCCTGTGACAGAACGCAAAGAATGTGAGTTCAATACACGGTTAAGGCAGTGGAGAATATTTTTTTTTAAATATTACCAGCTATACGTTTTTTTTTGTTTTTTTTAAAATAATTTTACCAGCAATATGTTTTTGGAAAAATAAGCAATATATGTTTGAAAAATATATATATATATATATATATATATATATATATATATATATATATATATATATATTACCAGATAAATTTTTTTTGAAAAAAAGAAAAAATATTACCAGTGATACATATTTGAAAGAAAATCATTACCAGAAATAGATTTTTTGAAGGAAAGATTTTACCAGAAATAGATTTAAAAAAAAATATTACCAACAATAAAAGTTTTGTCGGCATTAAATGACCCATTGAGGTTGATATGTCGTGAAACCGAAACAAACAGACGAGAGAAAAATCTGATAGCTACGCTCTAGTGTTAGATAGCGCCCTTGACCGCATACTATATTAACACTGAATCATCTTTCTATCTTGCTTTAGTTTAAAAATATATCTAAATTTTAACATGGTGTGATTGAGTTATCATTTCAACAACTTGAGTCAGTTTCAAGAGCTTTGTAGAAAACAAAAAAGAATTAGAAATTTTCTCGAGTGTCCAAAACTCGATAAGAATTTCTTCTGAAACTGTATGCTGAATTTAAAATGTCATTTGTTTGTTGGTTTTAAGTTTAACAAGTGTCCAGAAAAGTAAGTCAGCGTCGGTCTCTTAGAATAGAATCTTCCGTTATATACCATTAGTTCCAGTTGTATTCTGCCTGGAGCACTTAGAGTCCAAGAAGAGCATAGAGGAAGTGAAGGGTTTTCACTGAAAATTCTTTCACATAGAAACTGCCGATCTAGCTTGAATACTTCAATAAACTAAACCTGGAGAGATGTTATTCAGCTAAATATATCCCAGATTCGGTTGGAAGCAAATCAGATAAAATGGCGGAATGCACTGAATGGAATAAAAAAGAATGTACCTTTTTACACGGTATATTTAGTGAAGTGATCACGAATGCGATCCTCCTAGCCAGAAAACTTTACGCGCTCTTTTTTTTTTCTTTTTTTTTGCTGAGAGTTTTAAAGTATTTAAAAGTTTAAAGATTTTTTTTTCTAATCATAGTTTATGCTGGTTAAATGTAAACAAATTTATAAGATTCAACTTCGATGAATAAGAATTTTAAATACAAACGAAATATAATGGAAAATTATAGGTTTTAGAGGATTTATGTCAAGTAAAGAACGGTTCTATTTATGTTATTTCTACAATTAATTTATCGTCTGTATTTTTATAACCAGACGAATTTGTTTTTCTAATATACAGATTTCCTAAAATATCTAAATAAATTCGTTTTATGCAAATATTGCCTTGTCTTTATATAATAATGATTTAATATCAATAATAATCATAGATAATGATTATTCAATTTTTGTAATCGATTTTACCCCAAGAAAGGGAGTAAAGCCCCCAAGATACAAGAGGTTACTGGGTGTAGAAAAATTACGAACAGACACAGGCGCGAAGATAAAAACATAAAATAATGAGGAGGATAGATAGCGATTGTCATTGCATTTAAATTTTTGGATATTAAAGTTGGCTGGAAAGCATGGACCCGGAAATGAGTTCTACTAGCAAGAAAAGAAACAGTTAGGCTACAATTTACGATTGCATCTAGTCAGCTCAACTGTAAATTGATGGGATTTCGACGCCAGTCTATTTCTGCGCTTAAAAAAAAAAAAAAAAAAAAAACGTTTCGGTACATTAGCGAAGACCTCTTCCGAACAATTAGCACGAAAGTATTAATAGAAAAGACAGAGACAACCTTACGACGATGAGAAAGTGACTGATGCCGAGCAGCCAGATCAGTACCGATAATATTGCTGATTGTTCTTTTGATTTTATCAAGGCGCTCAACGTAAATAGAAGAGTCACCAGACATTATGTGACAGCAATATTCTAAGCATGGACGAAAGGTAGACTTATAGGTATGTAAAATAGATTCTGGAGAGACAAATTACCTCGCAGGTTACGGTGAACCATCTTCTTTAGCAGCTGATCCAGCAATAGATTCAATATAGTCTTTCCACTTCATGTCAGCCGAGAACTTTACTTCGAGAATGCGAAACGATTCTTTCTTCGAGGTGAGTATCAGCCATCAAGGCAGAAAGGGGTCTCTCAGATGATTAATATAGAGAAGTTTAGTTTGGGAGGCATTAAAATTAAAAAGCAATCATCTTTTGTTCCAGTTAACAACAAACACGGTCGTATTGGACATCGGCTGCCATTTTGACTTTATGGAACATTTCAGGCTTTCACACGAACCAAGCTCGCTACTTTGACCCACCTTTCGCGGAAATCTGTCGACACCTTATAGAACTGATCAGCCTTATCCAGACAGGAGTAAATGGTTGTGTCATAATTTACAATTAGCATGCAATCAAGCAAAATTGTATACACATTAAGTAAGCATTTCCCAGTTTGTCGTAATAAAACCACCGGTAGGAGAGGTGTATAAATCCTTCATTTTTCATCAAAGTAGTGATGGACTAGAGCAAAGAGAATTCAGAGATTATTTAATGAATTTACTCATTTATGCCAATCGATTCGCTAGACAAATCCAATAAAAATATAGACATTCAATGCCATTCTTATTTATCTGAAGAAGTAATACAGATTTTCGTTAGGTTCCTGTTTCCTTGTAGCCAGTAAATGTCTTGCAAAAAAAAAAAAAAACAAAAAAAAACTTCGTTTTGGGTTTTAATAAAAATGGCGTAAAACTTAGCTAATGCGAAGTTGTAGCCTGAACAAGTTTCGATAATCTCGAATACATTAGAACTGACAGTGCTTACCAGAGCTCTAAGCTTGTTAGGAATATTTCTTCGCAATCCTCGACATAGTTCGTAAAATCTATACGCCAATGGTGCCATTCTTTTTGTTGCAGTGGGTGAGCTAGGATCGACGTCGAGTTTTTTTAGGTCACCATTTTATATTCGAATTAAATTCACCCATTAGACTAGTTGTCGTAAATCTTGCTAACTAAAGATCGACTTGAAGTGAATCAAAATCTCAATCAAGGAGAAACTCCTAGAATCACTAAGTAACTATTTATACGAAGGAGAAGAAAACGCTTAACTCACGTGGTATTTAAATAGTTTACAACGCCATTTTTATTATATTAATTGCTATTTGGACAAACAGTTCTCTCGTTGCATTCTACTATCTACGTCAGGTGTCCATTTTTGTAAGTAGTAACCAGAGTTTATAGTCGTACCCTTTACTCATTCCACGGGGATAGATTGCATTTATTCAAATATCCATGCTTAGAGCATATGTAATATCAATTAATATTTTACCTTTGATTCAGTTTCATGTTTTTTAGTACGAATCATTCGCTGAACTGGAGTAAGTGAGCACTACTAGACCCAGGATTAGAACTCACAATTACCAGGGGATTGGAAATGTTTGAAACAACGTGTTAGTCGACTAGGTTAAATTTCATTTGAATTTCCGACATTATTATGTTTTTCTAAGCTTAGCTTGGACGAGAAACAAGTCCGAAATTAAAAAGCACCCAGTGAGGATCGAACTCCCTACGCCGTCGTAATTATTCTAGCGAAACCTGTTTGCTAACCATTAAACCACGTCGAAGTGTCTTATGCTGGTTTTATACAGTTGTAATCCACAAGGCTCACAGAGCAATTAAAATTGTTCGGATGAGCTTTCCTCATTGGTACCTCGACTTCATGAATTTAAACGTAGTACTAGATTGGCAGTTAGGTCTCATTATTTTAGTGTTTAACTTGCTATGTGTAACTGTAAGTTCTATTCTAATAGTTTATTATCTCGCACTTCTCTCTTGTGGAACTCCTGTTTTGATTCCGTGTCAGTTACGACCTTTAAAGATTTAAATGCAATGTCAATTGTAATCTTCTGATTCCTCGTATCCTGTTCTTTTTATTGTCATTTTTCTCCAATAATGTTTTATCATTTCCCTTGGCTCTGTTGTCTTTCATCCCCAATAACACCTTGTGCCTGAGTAGTTTTATCCCCTTGTTTGGGGTGAAATGATAAAAGAATATCTAATGTCTAAAGTTCTCGACCTGAGTCAGGTAACTCATACCACGAGATTACAAACATCAGATCCGATTAGCAAAACATGTAATGAAGACAGATTTACATTTGAAATATTCTGACAAAATTATGAACATCTAAGAAAAGTCGGTTCACTGTGTCGTGCCAAACAATGTTTCCCTCTAGAATCTATCTTGCACATCTATAAGTCTACCATTTATCCATGCTTAGAATACTGCCATATATGGTCCGCTGCCCCTGCTATTTACCTGGATCTCCTTGATAAGAAGCAAATAAGAATCAGCAATATTACTGGTCCTGATCTGGCAGCTCGGCTTCAGCCACTTGCTCACCGCTGTAATGTTGCCTCTCTGTGTCTTTTTTATAAATACTTCCATGTTAATTGTTCAGATGAGCTCTTCATTTAAGGGCAACACTAGACCGGCGGCGAGATTTCATCAATTTACAGTTGAGCTGGCTAGATGTAGCCGTAAATTCTATGCCAACAGTTTATATATGCGGTTTCAAAAATGTCAAGTAAAATCTGTAAGAACTATTTCTAGGGTAAGACGCAAAGAAAAAGAAAACTTACCAAAGCGAAAAGATCATTTTGAAGTTTCATTCGACACATCGGAGGCAGGGTTTGATCCCGGACACCCTTGATAAGCTGCTGAAGCATTTCCTCGCTGTACTCAGTGCGGAATAAATCCATACCATTAATCTGAAAGAAAATTTACCCACATTTACACCTTATAGAAATAACGAATTTCAATTATTATAACACTGATAAGGCAGATATGAGAACCGGGGTAGTAGCACCTGTTAGGGCCCCAGATATGGGCAAATTGTAAACCCCCAAACAAAAATCAACAATACATTTTTATCGAAAAATAATAATCAATAAAATATTAATATATATATATATATATATATAGTAACATTATCTACAATACATTTTATGAAGTATAAAATTATATTTATAAAAATCATACCTTTATCTTAAGATTATAAAATTTTGTACAAGGTGTCTGTCGTTGAAACATAAAATTGCGTGCGGGATATTTGGATTTCGGCATTAAATAAACGATAGAGATACTGATATGCCGCTAAAGAAATTCAACCAACTCTACCTTGAGGTAATCTTTGAACTTGTATTGAGTAAACAATTCCCAATGGGAATTAGTATGAAAATGAACAAAACAGACTAGGTCGAAATTTGAACTCGGCTTGACGATTCCTCTTTTTGTGCCGATAACTCATACGCAGCCTGTCTATCTTTTGTATAGTATAGCGCTTCCAAATAAATTGATTCTGCAGTCATCAAGTCTAGAATTAACCATTAACTATCCTACATGTCCTGAAAACCTCATCGTACGCTCATATAACAACGTCAATCTACCTTGAGTCGTCCTGGGTATGACGATAAACGACATCCGGCAGCAAGACCTCTGATCGGGTCATTGGAGGTTTTGAGGAGCGTGGAACCACCACTTAATTGTTGTTTCCAGGTTCACTCTGATCCCGACCTGGAGTGGTAGCACCTGTTACGGTCCCAGCTATGGGCAAATAGTGAACCCCCACCAAACAAAAATCAACTATACATTTTTATAATAAAATGATTAACAAAATATTTTATATCAAAATGACAATTATTGCAACACTAAATAATATATAAAAAATACATGTTTACAGTAAAATAACCAACAATGCATTTTATGATTTACAAAATATATATTTAAAAACATATCTTTACTCTGGGAGAATAAAATTATACACAGGATATTTGTAGTTTGAAAGTATTAAATTGCGTGTAGGATATTTGAATTTCGGCATTAAATAAACGATAGAGGTTGATATGCCGCTAAAGAAATCCAACCGACTCAACCTTGAGTGACTCTTTGGACTTGTATTGAGTAAACAATTCCCAATGGGTATTAGTATGAAAATTAAGAAAACAGACTAGGTCGGAATTCGAACTCGATTTATCATTTACAAAATACATATCTAAAAAAGTATAAAATTACGCACAGAATACCTGTAGTTTAAAGCATAAAATTGTTTGCGGGATATTTAGATTTCGGCATTAAACAAATCATAGAGGTTGATATGCTACTAGACAAATTCAACAAAAAATTCTGAGTTTTAGCAAAACCTTCCTTGAGATTCTCTTTGGACATTTCTCCATTTTTTACATTTCTGAACATGCAGATCTGAATAGAGTTTTTTATTTATCAAATAGGAATTTTCGTTGTCATCCATAACTACAGAACGTAAGAAAATTAGTTCAAAATGGTTTAATATCTAATGATTAACTTAGAATAATTTCCGAGTTATATGGTAGAATTAATGGTAAAAACGCCCTGGATTGTCAGTGCCTATAAAAATTATACTGAAGCCTTGTGCTACTTACAAAGATCCAGTCTTGGTCAGAGAAGTTGTTGAATGTCATCTCTCTGGAGAAATTCTGCATAAAAAAGTTCACTTCCGGTTGGTTTCGGCGATAGATTTTAAGGTTTAATGGCCAGCCAGACTCGAAGTACTGTCTGGATTGTCCGGTGTTTTCTGCAAGCATGAAATGAAAGATGTGAGGTTAAGAAGAGAGGAAAATAGAATAATAAAGAAAACAAACATCCCCCTCTAGGTGGCAAAACGTGGACGGAGATTTGATCAAAAATAAAAACGGCCACAAAATAAAAATCTACACGATTTACATAGTTCGAACCGGTGTCCTCTTCTTGAGTGGCATATTCACGACGTTTCAGCCTTCTTCAGGTGATATACGTCAGAAGTTTTTGTGCGCCTGTGACATAGCAGAGGGAACAGAAATTTGGAGAGGGAATTAACTAAAACTGAGATACGAAAAAAAAAGGCATGGCTTGTGGAATTAGAACGATCTACCCACGCTGGGACTAAATAAAGGTTTCGGTTCGAAATTCCAACGTATATCGACTGAAGAAAGCCGAAGCTTACAACGGCCGAAACAGCGTGAATACTGCAATAAGGACGAGAAAGATGTAATATCTAAGAAATATAAGCAGACAATAAATAAATGTAGAAACCCATATGTAAATACGCACAGAAACGCATATATATATATATATATATTAAGAAATGGACAAAGTCCGACAATTTATTAAAGACATCTTTATGTTTAACATTCTTTTTATAGATACAAGTATTTTAGTAAATGCTCTGTTTATAATAAACAGTATTAAATAACATTTACCGGCCTGAATGTCCGAGAAATTTTCATAGAAAATATTCGTCCTTTGATAGGATTCGAACCTGTATCCTATACGGAACCGTCATTTAGATTGACGTGCCTAACCTCTCGGCCACAAAGGATCAAATTTACTGCCTATAAACTTCAATCTTCCATGAATCTCGTACATTCATAACTGCTCATGGCGTATCAAATGTAAACAAATGACGTCATACATTAAGAAATGGACAAAGTCCGATAATTTATTAAAGACATTTTTATGTTTAACATTCTTTTTATAGATACAAGTATTTTAGTAAATGCTCTGTTTATAATAAACAGTATTAAATAACATTTGTTATTAAATACTGCTTACTTAAACAGAGCATTTACTAAAATACATTTATCTAAAAGAATGTTAAAACATAAAATGTCTTTTAATATATATATATATATATATATATATATATATATATATATATATATATATATATATATATATAAAGAAGAGAGGAACCGTAAACGTTTTTGGTTTTAATGTGGATTTTTTTAAAGAAATATATTATGCTTTATTTGCCATAATTTTGCTACACGTGCTTCCGGTCTCGCGATCTTCATCAGGCAAAGAGTGGATATTTCCACATATTATTAAAAAGAATTCATTTTTTTTTATGTTTTTCGACGTTAAATATTCTCGATATTAGACATTCTCTTTTTTGTGTGTTAGTGACCCAAATGTCTTTCTTGAACTAAGGCAGCGAAAGAATTCTGCGTGAAGGGTCATAAAACAATTAAGACTGGTCCGAGAAAGGGTGAAGAAGATATCTATATTCTTATCTTTTAATGACCCCTGTGTGTTCTTAGATCTATTTCCATTTTTTTGTGATTTTGTCAGCATGCGTACGCATACGTAGATTCCTTCTCCAAACACACAATAAAGTGAATGTCTAATATCGAGAATATTTAACATTGAAAAACATAAGAAAAATTAATTGTCTCGCTAGAACAATTACGACAGTAGTGAGTTCGATCCTCACTGGGTGGCACATACTTTCGTCCTAGCTGCCACATCTAAGCTACGGTGGAAAATCGATGTTGCCTTTTCATATTTAGGTCACCTAGAGGCGGTGTAATGGTTAGCAAGTTTGTCTCGCTAGAACGATTACGACCGAGTAGTGAGTTCGATCCTCACTGGGTGCCCCCTAATTTCGGCCTTGTGCCACATCTAAGCCTAGCTTGGAAAATCACTAAGGGCACCTCGAGGTGGTGTAATGGTTAGCAAGCTAGTCTCGCTAGAACAATTATAACTTAGTAGTGAGTTCGATCCTCACTGGGTGCCCCCTACATTCGGCCTTGTGCCATATCTAAGCTACGCTTGGAAAATCACCATATCGAATCAATTGCTAGGTTTTCTGCTAAGAAAAATTCTTCCCTGTTTCGTGCAAGACAATTTTTCTCTCCTGAAATTATCTTACATATTTATAAGTCTGCTATTAGTCCGTGTTTCAAATATTGCTGTTAGGTACAGTCCGGTATCTCTGATGATATTCTTGATAAAATCCAAAGTGGAATCAGCAATAACATTGGTGCTGCCGTGGCATCTCGAATTCAGTCACCCTCTCATTGTTGGGAATGTAACTTCTCTCTGACTTTTCTATAAATACTTCCATGGTAATTGTTCGGATGACATCTTTCCTCCTTGCATGGAGTGAAATGATCAAAAAGTGTGAATATTACTTTGTTTTCTGAAACTTTCTTTTCCTATTTTGATGTCATTCATCTTTTAAATTTTTTTCATTTCTAACTTTGCTTTCATTTTTAAATATATCCCAGCCTGAGCTCTATTCATGAACATCCGAATCGATTTGAACGAATTAATATTTGTGTCTGGGAAAACTTACCTAAATCGTAGTAAAAGTCTTGGTGGAATTTCATATGAAGTTGATCGCCGTCCCGGACCCACGCCACCTGAATATACAAGCAAAAGTCGTTAAATTATACACACACACATATATATATTTAGGCTCTACTTTTGTATTGAGCACTGTTTTTTTAAAAATAATAACAAAATACTAAAGAACTTTGGATTATTTACCTAACGAGTTCATTCCTATTTTCTATATATTTTCACACATACATATATATATATATATATATATATATATATATGTGTGTGTGTAATTACATAAAAATGAACCTCAATTGTACCCCATTTATACGGTCATTTCGCTCCACAAGAGAATACTCTCTTCGAGAAATTCCCGGGAGCTTGTCAATACTAAAAAGTTTGATAAAAAAAAAAATGAATCGTGAAAATTGAAAAAGAAAGGAGGAAAGAAGGAAAAAAGAGAGGAAAAATAAGAGAAAGAACAAATGAATTAAAAGCCACAGTTAGTACATTTACTTTTTAAAAAAAGTGCTCAATGCAAAGTAGAGCAAAATATTATATATTTATTACAAAACATTTCTAAATCACGACAAAAAGCTTTCATGTTTCAATACTATCACTGTACTTCTTCAGGAAATGGTCGGTAACTGGTTCTAAAATGATTTCTTACGCAAATTTAAAATCAAATCGTTAACTCTTTCCCTAAAGTTAAAGTGGGGATAAGGTCAGAAATTAAAAATAGTCTTGTGGGTGTGTCTCGATTAACCAATTACATGTTAGATCTACCTCAAATTGAAAAATAAGATCAGAGGGTGGAGGTGGGTGAGTTATATTTTTATGCGACGATAAACCGACATATAGACATGGCATCATTACAGAGAATACATTTTGTCGCTGCCTTTGATCACCCAGAGGCGGTGTAGTGGCTAGCAACCTTGTCTCGCTAGAACAATTACGACTAAGTAGTGAGTTCGATCCTCACTGGGTGCCCCATACTTTCGGCCTTGTGACGCATCTAAGCTACGCTTGGAAAGTCACCATTTATCGCTGCAGTCGTCAATGATGCACAAAGTTTAATTTTCCTATAAATGCCAGTTTGTATCAGAGTATTTACCTTGGGAAACTCTCATTTTGAAAGGTCAACTTCATTTTAAGCCATCGCTATCTTGCAGCCATACACAATCGTGGGAAAAGCATTGAGAGTAAACCCTGAGGGCAAATTTGGAGTGGAGTCCGTAAGACAGTCCGATGTTATGGTCAACTTCATTCTGGCAACTCCTGCGACGGCGCCGGTCTCAAACTGTATTGTCCTCTACCTGTCCCTTGGGCAATATCGATGACGTGGAGATGGGCAAGTACCGAACTCTTAAAAATATCTTGCCCTAGTGAGGACACACCCACGACGGCAAAACACAATCTATTGATGGGAGTATTCCGAAGATCCTTTTGAAGGTACAACTGACCGCCGGCAAATGGGCACAAAGGCGACCTCATCTTCGCTTCAATGAGGTCTTCAAAAAGTACGAAAGGTCAATGGACATCGAGAGAAGAGAAGATTTTGGTTTGGTTTTGTTTTACGGCTTATCAACCTCAATGGGTCATTTAATGCCGAAAACATTTTTTTCCTGATAATATTTTTGTTTTGTCAAAAATCTATTTCTGGTAATATTTTTTCCTCCAAATTGTATAGCTGGTAATATTATTTTAAAACATGTATTTCTGGTAATATTTTTTCTTTCAAAAACGTATTGCTGATAATAGTTTTTGTTCTCTTCAAAAATTTTATTTTGTTAATAATTTCCTTTACACAGTAGTTCTAGTATTAAAACCTATTTTTACACTTTCATAATGCTTTTTACCTTAGTTTCGAGGTTAACTATTTGCCCATAGCAGAGTTCCTAACAGGTGCTACCACCCCCGGTGAGGGTGGACATGGGAACACCAGCAATTAAGACGCTCCTCAAAGCCTCCTGATCAGAGGCCTTCCTGTTGGACGTATTTTATCGTCTTACTCTGAGCGTGGATGTAGTTTATCGTCATACCCAGGACACGGATGTAGTCTCAGTTTTGGGGTTAACTATTTGCCCATAGCTGGGACCTTAGCAGGTGCTACCACTCTGGGTTAAGGTGGACCTGGGAACACCAGCATATAAGAGGTGGTTCCACGCTCCTCAAAGCCTACTGATCAGAGGCCTTGATGTTGGACGTAGTTTATCGTCTTACCCTGGACGCGGATGAAGTTTATCGTCATACCCAGTACAAGAAGGGAAGATGTGGCCATTACAACGAGTATTAGCGTGCAGAGAGGAGAAGAGAAGGCTTACCGACGGGGAGAAGCGTGCTCAACAAAAAGAAAAGAAGCCGATATCAGCGGGAGAGCGTCTTCACATGTATTCGTTGCAATCGAGACTACCACTACTGCATAGGCCTATACAGTCTTAACAGATGCTGCAATGCAATCAGAATCTGAGGCATGGCTCTTTGCGCGCACACCCAAAGTATGTCGATACCGACGGGTGCCACATATATTTATTCGCGTAATTTTTTGTTTTTTTATCACAGGAATAAATTTTGAGTTAAAGCAAAAGTAAAGCAGTTAACGTTTTATCGAAAGACAAAATGTCAGTTAGCTTTTAGCATGATTAAAACGAAGTAATGTTTATAGCCATCAAACGAGAAGGTTATTTCAAGAAACGAATTGCTGACCTTGAGAATAGGAAAACCCGGCATTTCCTTGTAATTTTCATAGCTGATGACCTTTTTCAGCAGCCCCTATGGGAAAAAAAGACAACATAAAATGAAAAATCATGGAAATATAAAAACTGCTGTAGATTCTAATTCAGCTGTATGCTTATAAGAGATCTGGCCCGTTAAACATATATCTTGTCAAATGTTACAGAAATTGTTTCATGTGTCGTGCAAGAAAATACTCATGAGAATCTATTTTGAAACTTTACATGTCTTCCATTCGTCCGCGCATTAAATGTTGTTGCCACATCTAA